TTAGGTAACTGGTCCCGAAATATGTGATTTCTGAAATTACGAGTCTTGAAGTTTATCGGTTTGCTTGTAAAACCCTACAGTCTCACTCCCTAAAGGCATAAAAGTGTACCTGGATGTAGCTGGAGAGAGTAAACAGGAAGACGAGGAGAGGACACTGAGTCAACCACTAGCAGCTGAATCTTGCTTGCAGAAGTGGCCGTGGTGACTCACATTTTGCCCCTTTATAATTTTAAACTTTCATACGCAGTTCCCCTGAAGTTTCAGTTCTCTACTACCCACTACGTTATTAGATGAGTGTTTACTGAGCAACCAACTGAATGAAATGTTTAGGAAGTTGTATCCTAAAAATTATAGTCCCAACGTAGACAAAGGCAGACGTAAAGTAGGTTGTGAGCTGAAGTAGTAACTTCACATGTGTGTGTGTTTAGGAAAGGCAGTGATTGTCAAAGGAATGTATGCCTTTTGGGATGTGACTCATATTGTTTGAAATATTATTTTTCTTAATCTAAAGGCCGTACGTTCATTATTTTTCCTAAGTCAGAAAGTAGAAATACTCAAAATTGGATATTCCAAGAGATCATCAGTGTCATTACCTTGGTATAAACTTCTTAATCTTTTTCTATTAAATAAATGTGGGTGCTTAAATGAGTATTAACCTGAAGGTTACTTACCCTGAGAAGCTCTGTATTTATTTTAGGGAGGCACCTACTGCACACATTATTTATGAAAATAAATTCTTTTGGAATTGCCTAAGGGGCAAATTTCTAAGGTAGTTTCCATAGACATCCTTTTTTCAACATGAAAATAGCTTTCTTCAGATTTTTAAATAAATACTATAAAAATAAAGGCAATGACAGAGTGAATAGAATTCTATATAGGGAAAGAATTTTTTTTTTAAAGTGAGATCATGTTATGCAAGATATATTATAACCTGCTTTTCCCACTTACTGGCCATGTCTTGTTTTTGATGGAAAAACTGTGTGTGTGTGTGTGTGTGTGTGTGTGTGTGTGTGTGTGTGAGGGAGGGAGGGAGCATGGTCATTAGACTTAACTCTGATTGATTTAGCTCTTTACTAAAATGAAGTCCATGCTATTGCTCTGTGATTTTTTTGACAAATTCTAAAAATGTTCGATGTAATGGTATATATACGTAAGTAGATGGATTCCCAAGGTCACTGCTTTTAAGCAATGTTAATGTGAGATGTTTAAAAAATACACATATGTACACATGTGTGTGTATATTTGTAGTCTCTTAGTGTCTTTCCTTCATGGTGACATTTTCAAAAATGTAAGTTTATATAAATCATGGAACATTATAAAGACCACGTACAGATGAGATTATATATAATTCACTAATTCGTAGTAGTTGTGCTATCCAGAAAGGACAACATGGCACTGCAGCCTCAGGAGAGCCACAGTCTAGGTCTCTGAACCATCTTTTCCAGGTTAACTGAATCTACATATATATTAACAGTTCTAGAGCATAATGAAAACCACTGTCTGTGGGGTGACTAGTTTTGCCTTCCCCATCTCTGCGAAAATAGAAAAATACCACCCTTCTTTTCAACTCTGTCCTCTCACTGGCCTCCACCCTTCTTTTCCTCTGTCCTCCATTCACTTTGACCATTGTTTCTGGTAGGGAGTTTAAGACCCTTAAATGTTAGTCCTTCCTTGAGGACTTGTGTGCTGCCTTGTCGTTCTCTTATGATACCTTGTCCTGAGTGTGTCCTCCCCCTTGTTTGAACCACCGTCTGAGCTTTGCACACTTTGGAGGTTCTGTTTTCTCTGCTGATCGTAGGACCACTGTGCTTTCCTGTGTGCTCAAGTTGTGAAACCCACGCATCTGGAGTCCGGCACGTTCACAGCTGACCTTATTGTCTTTCCCCTAAAGGTGCTCCTTCTATGATTCCCTGCACAGGGCGATGGTGTGAAACTCTACCCATCCTGGAGTTACTCTGGGTTCCTCTCCCTCTCTCAATCCGTACAACCAGCCCACCAATTAGTTCTGTTCGTTCTCCTCTCTGATGTTTCTGAAATTTCTTTCACCTTAATTTGAACCTTAATCCCTTCTTACAACAACCTCCTTCTGATCTTCCTTTTTCTCTGGTCTTGTGTTCCACACTTAATTCTACAGGGACTTTTCTAAAACACTTACCTGTTTCTCTCCTGCTGAATTCTTCAGTGCCTTGCTCATTCTTGTCAAGATGACATCTCATTTCCTCAGCATAGAATTCATGGCCCTTGTATTCTGGCCGTTATGTTGCCTCACCTCTGGCCATCCTCGCCAGATTTCCTATGTTTTGGCCATTGTACTCATGTTAGGGCTGCCATGACAGATACGATAGATTTGGGTGCCTTAACAGAAATCTATTTTTTTTAATTCTGAGGATAAGAAGTCCAAGATAGTGTTGACAGGTCTGATTTCTCCCAAGGCCTCTCTTCTTGGCTTAGAGATGTCTGCTTTCTGGCTATGTCTTCATGTGGTCTTTCCTGTATGCATGCACATCCCTTAGTGTCTGTATGTCCCAATTTCTTCTTTTAAGGACACCAGTCATAGTGGATTAGGGCCTATCCTAAAAACCTCCTTTTAATCATGCCTTTAAAGACCTTATCTCTAACTGTGGTTACATTCTAAGGTACAAGGGGTTATGATATCAACTTATGACTTTGAGGGAGAGACCCAATTCAGCCCATGATACCATCTATGGCTCTAAAAAAAAAAAAAAATCAAACACAGGCATTTATATCTTCTGTAAAAGTAAGTGACAGAACACCACTATTACAATATCACAGTATGCTCAATGTTTTGTAGTTGTGTGATGATTGCCGTATCTCCATACTCAGCAAATGTTTCCTTTCCAAATCTTCCTCCCTTCTCCTCCTTCAGGCTAACTCTTCTGTGTTAAGACTCCTTCACATGGGAAGCTCACCCAACATCCTGGGCCTGTTTGCCTCTTGTTTCTGTCCTTTAACTCTATGCTTACACCATCATGGCACTTGTATGTATCACAATTTTAACTGTTCACTTCTCTTCCTCACATCTTTTTTTAAAAAAAATTTTTTTTCAACGTTTATTTTTTTGGGGGACAGAGAGAGACAGAGCATGAACGGGCGAGGGGCAGAGAGAGAGGGAGACACAGAATCGGAAACAGGCTCCAGGCTCTGAGCCATCAGCCCAGAGCCCGACGCGGGGCTCGAACTCACGGACCGTGAGATCGTGACCTGGTTGAAGTCGGACGCTTATCCGACTGCGCCACCCAGGCGCCCCTCTTCCTCACATCTTAAACATACCCTCACATGAGGTATTAAGCTCATGGCTCCCTAAAGTCCTATCTACCAATGTGGCTTCGTAGGAAATGAATTTGCTGGGATGCATGGAGCTTCATTTTGCGAAGTATGCACATGAAAACTGAGGATTTAAGATAATAGACTTACGGGTGGTTGCCATCACTTCTTGAAATCTCTTGGCTTACAGTTGTCTGCTGCAGTCTCTTTTGTCACATGGCATTCTTCTCTTTAAAGGACATCAGTCATATTGTATTAGGGCTCAACCAGATGACCTCATCTTAGCTCCATCACATCTGCAAAGACCCTCTTTCCAAATATGGTGACATTTACAGGCACCAAGAGTTAGGACTTCTATGTATCTTTATTGGGAATACAATTTAACCCATAGCAGCCAGTTATCAATGACTCATTTAAAACACATTCTTTTTTTACAAATTAACATGGAATGAGGTCCCCATGGCTTTATATCTGAGATGAAAGGAAGTCTAATGCAGGGATTGCCAAGCAGTTTCACAGAGAGCTACTTGGGACACTCTAATTCTATACCTCAATTAGAACAGCCGATGCCACATGTAAACCCAGTATAAACCATTACGTAATCCACTGCATTATACAGTATAAACTGTAAAATCTGCTGGACTTAGGTTTCTACATATGTAAAATAAGGGTGTGGGGGAGAATGTTAGTTTTCTGTCAACTTTTAAAATTCTGTACCTCACTGAGGTTCATATGTGGAAGGGGGAAAAAAACAATAGGAGTAAACCCCATGTCATTTACCTAAAAAGTGAAATAAATGAGTTCTTGTACATTGCTACTAAAAAGGTATTTGGCTATATTATTTATGGGAATAAATATTTTTCCACTAAATTTTCCTTAAACAAGAAAAATGGAAATTTGAAGATACTTTGCACCATGTGGAGTGCTCAGAAAGCAAACAACTGTCTTGCAACATGTGTGCATCTTTAAAGTGGGGAATGAGGCAGGAAGAACACCTGCAAAACTCACATCAGATCGACTTTCTCTTTTGTCCTTCATAAGCTTAGACCGAGGTTCTTCCTAATTAAATTCTAAGTGTGAAACTTAAGAGTTTGCTTGACCTCACCCATACAAGTTGACAAGTTAGTGGATTATATAAATCTTCTGTGTCAACAGGTATTAAAAACTCAGTCTTTAATTGGAAATTGTATGGTACTGTATACAAATGCATACACATCTACTATTGGTCATAAAACAGGTTTGCCAGTAGCTAGATCTACCAAAGAAATTGGGGATCCCTGGCATAGACTTTCAATGCTATAACAATGTCGTCATGCATGTTGATATTTACATGCAAGAGAGAACACGGTGAACTTTCTTTTCATTAGCAGTGTAGGGATAAAGCAAGTACCATGATGATTTACATTTGTTTTATTTAGTTCAATTTTCCATTTGTTGAGACTTACACTGTTGAAGAGGTTAAAGTTCGTCCGAGGACTAATAGCGCACCCAATCTAGAGGAGGATGCTGGGAGGCATGCAGCTGCTTCAGAAAACAATTTCCCTTGGAATGTAGATGGTGATTTAGTGGAAGTCGCATCAGAGGTCCATGTTAAGTAAGTGTAATTATTTCCCCGCCTTAAGTGTCCACCAGTAGACACAAAACTGAGTGTAATGGAAGTCTCCTTGTCGTGACTTTTTTTTTTTTTAGATTAGTAAGTTAGGGAAGCATAAAAAGACCGATGTACAATTTTAATAAATAACTTTACACTTATTCAGTTGTTATATACACCCAAAGCATTTTCATATAGACTCAACCACAACTTATGAGTCTCTATTGGCATTGTAAAATTATCATTCTCTCTAAACTATACAGATAATGCAGGATTACAGTTTACATTTGATATTTCCAGTCTTTCCAAAGCATTCAACTTACTTCATGCAGACACAATTGTACATAAGTAACAGGAACAACTGGCACAAACAAGTTTAAGACTATGCAAACTCATTGTTGGTAAGCATTATGCCTCAATGGGTAAAAAGTACGCAGGAGCACACCACTAGCTGTGAGCTTTCTATGGGCACAATGCCTGGATTTTATAGTAATCACTGGTGCTGAGTTATCAGGCCCCCCAGTTTTACAAGATTGCAGCTCTTCCAATGTTTAACTATTGGTAGATTTGTATTGGGTATCATGTACCATACTCTATATGTGAACAATGATAGGTTGATGAAATAATCACACCTATCTTTTTTACAGATTACACCCAAGACTTATCAATCTTTATGGAGGAAGCATGGAAGAAATGAATGATTCTGAAGTTAACTGTAATTGTTTATAAAAGGAATGTACAAAATAGAATTTTAATGGGAGGGAATATGGTCATTCTTTAAACATATCCTAATAGGAAACAAAATTCTTATTTTTTAAAGAAATTTGCTATTTTGTTACTAAAAATTAGCTTCTAGAGCTTAAAAAAATTAGGCAATATAACCATTTATGGGTTTTGGAAAGCATTGGAATGGAAACTATTTCATATACTTAAAACATCTAAATTCTTTTACTTTGGAGTTACTGATTTTACAGGATGATTGTTTTAACTTTTCAGGATTTGAGTCCATCAGTCCTGACATGAAATTTCCTGTAGCCTGGTACACGTGGACTAGAGTTTATGTAAGGATGCCCTGATGAGGTACTAATCTAGATTTCAAATCTTTCCAACATCTACATTATTTGCCAAAAAAGGAAAGAAATTGTTATGGTACCAATTTTGTGACTATTCCCTGAAAGTTGAAAACTGTTGATTTTCTTTAAAGTGTTTTAAAATTTGTAAGACAGATGAAGTTTATAGCAAATTTTAAATTACACAAAATATCACACGGTCTAGGAGATACATTCTTTGTGCTTCTGAAAGTCCTGTTATCCAACAATTATAACACATTGGTTTCAATGTACTCAGTAATACCGAAAATGCTATCATTTCAGAAAAGAGCCAATTTCAATTGCCTCAGGGATCATCCTCCACCACTGATCCCAGAGGTTCTCCTGAAAGACTTACTTTGTTTTTTAGTAATGAAAAAACAGATCTTTTGCTTATATAAAGGGTACTTTTTAAAGCTTAATTACTACCGGTAGACAGTGAGTTCAGGAGGTTTCCTGCTCTCAGCATTCGAGGAGTGAAACCCAGTCACTTTCACAACCTTGTTCTGGGGCCAGCAATTATATACTGAGGGATTGTGAAGAGGTAACTTCTAGAAATTTCAGCTGACAGAGACAGCTGGTGGCAGGGCTTCCGCTAAGGAGATATTTTCCCTAATAGCTAAATTAGAGGCAAGTCTTACTTACTACCTGATCACTTCCAATAACAGATTTTCAAAATTGCCTACAGCTTCCTTATACAGAGGTTGTAAAGACAGAATAAATAAATTCAGATGAAATTATAATCTTCAGCTATCAGAATCTAGGTCATATGCATGAATAACTATTACAAAAAATGATTGTATCTGCAAATGAAAAGGCAATATTTCACTCGTCACTAAAACCTCTATGATGGAAATTTTGATGGCACGTTTTATTCACTGAAAACAAGCAAAATCGGTAAAGTTAGATTTCTAAATTTTGTTTCTCTAGTTCCATGCAGAAGAGAATGCTCTTATAGACCTGATAAAAACACATTTAATACATAGTTTTGAAGAGAAAGAGTAACATCTAAACAAGGAGGTGCATTTGCTTAATTTGATAGTCAATATTTTACTCACTATCTAATTTTTATATGAAATACTGGCCTCTAATCAGGCTCTTTGTAGAGTTTTGGTTTTAAGAGTCATTAGTGAGGTACAGTTTCCATATTTTACATATATCAGTGTATTAATATTTGAAATATCAGCGAAAGTGCAACATTCACAATGTTTCAGAACATAAATTAGAATTTTTAAGTATTGTTTTCATAAGCAAAAAATTTCACTGAAAATGGATTTTAGAAATTTACTCCTGGGTACCCTTAATAAAAATGTGTTCTAAGATGACTAGCGGATTAATACCTCTATAAACATATTCTTTTAAAACATTATGTATATATACAGAAAGAAAAAAAACCCATAGCTGTATAAACAATTATTCTGAAGTCATCTTATTAAGCTCAAACCAGTGTACAAGTTCATTCTGAAGTTTGCTCATCAGGATCATAATCCTCCTACATAGTCTGAATAAATCAGAGCCCATCATGAAGGTATTACAAATAGAGGTGTTTAAAGATAAAATCCACTTTTAAAACATTAGTGGTCGTCTTGTATCCATTCAAAAATTTAGGAACAGCTCTTGGAAGTATGTTCTCTGAAGATGTTTAGCAGGATTTTTCAAACAAGTCTCAAAGAACTATTAGAAATGAATCATTATCTATCCATGGAATTTATTTTACTGAAGCAAGCACATATGGTAAATAATTTCTTTTAAAGGAATGCTATTTCAAGTCCAAGACTTCTCCAAATGAGTTGTTTACTTCTTCAATGTGATTGAATTCAGATGCAATATCTTCGAGGGATTACTTACCTTGAATAAATTGAATGCTTTAGTGTTTTTCTATCCATTTAAGAGCTGAAATATTCTCTTTGGATATATTAAATATTCCCTTTGCAGTTATTTTCCTCTCGAAGACGAATCATTGCGTAGATTTTTCATTTGCGTGGAGACCCAATATGTCACAAGGTCATGAGTAAAAGAAGTAAGTACATAGAAGTCAGTGTTGTAAACAACATCTTAAGTTTCTTTGGTTAACCTGAGTCCGTTGTCCTCTCAATTTGAAAGATGTCTTCAATCATCATCATTGCTTTTGCTGTTAACGTAACTCCAACTGTCTCTTCTGTTTTCTTCTTGTAGGATAGATTTGTACTGTCTTTTAAAGAAACCAACCTGAAAATGGCATTGCATAATCATTAGTGTATTACTACAAACATATTACACTCCTATCAGATACCTGAAAACTCACTATCCCGTGTAGATAGTAAAATCTAGATGGGAAATACTGGGTTTAAAGAGCATTATTTTTGTTACCCCAGGACTGCTCAGTGACCCACATTCTCCAAAATGGACATTAAAAATAATATGCACTGTTTTCCAAATGCTTTTTTTAATTGTTTTAATTTTTATTTTTGAGAGAGAGGGAGACACAGAACCCAAGGCATCTCTGAGCTGTCAGCACATAGCCTGATAGGGCGCTCAAACTCGTGAACCGTGAAATCATGACTTGAGCCGAAGTCGGATGCTTAACCGACTGAGCCACCCAGGCACCCTGTCCAAATGCTTTTTTTCTAGAACATCTTTCAAAACTAGTGTTATGGTCGGAATACTGGCTGAAGTCAGGAGAAATGGGAGATCAGTACTATATACTCATTTGGGAATTTAAAAAGTTAACATTAAAAGTACTGCAATACTTTAATAACTTGGGAGTCACAAAAGTCACTTTGTGAAAGTCAAGAATGTTGTATTTGGTTTGACATTGGTAATTATTAATGACTTACCTTCCACATAACATACGAAATCAATAAAAGTAAAATAAGGCCAAGTAGCAAGCTACTTGAAATAATTGCTATTGTGAAATGACGTTTGGGTCTTTGATGATGTAGTCCTTCAAGGAAAACCTACATAAATTAATGAAAAGAAAGAGCCACCAGTTTAAAAGTTGCTTCTGTTCCTTGTGAAGCCCCACCCTCACCCCCAACCCATGATTCCCATAGTAGTTTGAACAACCCGTGCCCTTCCTTGCCAGTTCTAATAACCCTAGGAAACACTGGTAACTGTCGAGCTGGATGGCCTCGCACCATGGTTCTTCATCTGGTTAATGCTACCAAGTTTGCCTCCTGAACGAGCCATCCGGCACCAGTTGCGGAAAATGCCAAATCTCAGTAAACTATTTCAAGCCCTCCATGATCTAGTCAATCTATTTTCCTGACTAAACACCCCAGCAGGTTTTCCCTAGAATTGTAATGTTTCAGGTAAAGTGGTAATCTTACATGTGCAACATTTTCATCCTTGTTTAGTTCAATAACTTTTGGATTAGGCTCTGGAAAAGCCATTGCTCTTATCTCAAATGTGAGCGCTGAAGTCTCATCCTGTTAAATAAAAGAAAGATCACTGTAGCCTGACTCATAGTTTTCTTTCATGAAGATGTACTAGTAATTTATCATGATCCTTACCTACGATCTCAGAATTTTACAACTTATCTTCCCCAGTGTATTTCACCATTTGTGGTTAATTGTAATGCAATGCTTTCTTTGCTTCCAAAGGCACAGCCGTGGTATTAATTTTCCTGGCATCATTTTGTTCAAATCCTTTTATTAAACATGACTATTTTGCAGATAACTTGATTTAGGTATTTGTAATAATTAGCAGTGTATTTTTTTCCTAGTCAGTCTTTTTCCCAAAGGTGACTTTCTTCACCTGATAAATGGTTCCTCAAACTTATTTTATCTAGGCTTTTCTTTTTTTCTAAAACAGTGTTATCATCTTGCTGTTGTAAAATACCTATAGTTTAATACCATAATGGAAAAATATGATACAAGTAGTTATAGCATGCCAGTATAAAATTGGTAGGTGAACTCTGAGCTTTACTATCTAACAGACGGACTTTATAACCAAGAATCCATGGAGCTCAGGAATCTGGGGATGGGCTCCACAGACTCTGATGACCTTTTACAATTACATGTAAAATTGAGGGTTTTTTCTCATATATGTATTCATTGAGGTAGATGAGAATATGTTGTTTAGGAATTTTACTAAAGAAGCCTATGACCGACCCTCAAAAGTTAAATAACATTTGTGCGGTAGTTTTAATGTTTTGGAAAGAACACGGAGAATTTTAGGGGTAAAAATAGAGTATTAAAGCAGTGGTTTCCAACAGGAATGCTTCTATCCCCTAGAGGACAGTCAGCAGTTTCTAGACTGTCAGGACTTGGGAAGTGGTGTACCAACATCTAGTTCGTAGAGGCCAGCAATGGGCTAAACATCCTACAATGCACAGCACAGCACAGCACCTAACACGAAGGAATTATCTGGTCCAAAATGCTAGTAGTGCCCACTGTTTAGTAACCTGGACCTCAAGAGTAGGAGAGGGCAAACTGCCAAAGTTTAAATAACTTGAATGGTCTCCTAACAATTTTTAGCACAACTGAAATGACAACAGACTTCTTAATTCTCTTTCTGGTGCATCTATTCCACCCCACCCCCCCATCCTCTTTACCACTGTGTGGCAATTTCAAATACTCCTCTTGAAACAAAACAAAACCACCGATTTTCTTTGGCTTACTATATGCCATGCACTAAATGCTTTACAAAAAAAGTATCTCATTTAGTCTGTAACACCCCTGCAAGAGATTATCAGATGAGGAAATGGAAGAACAGAACTCCAGATAAAACTAATTTTATGTCAGTAATCATAAATATGCATACTCATTTCCAGGAAGAAATCCAAGATGTTTATTTGTTATTGTACATTTCTGTTTTACTGTTGATGAATGTTGATGTTTTAGTTGGGTTTTATGAAAGTTTTGCTTCTTAAATTTTATGCATAATTTCAAGCAGTTTAGAAAAAACCTTAAGGTTAGATAAAATGTTAAGGTAGTCCGTTTATGTGACTTAATCAAGGTTCATAAATAGTTGGACATGCTTTCTAAAATAAACCTCTTAATTATTCCATAGTCTATTCTACAATCTTATCTGTTTAATTACAAAAACTGTATCATTTAGACAATCTATTCAGCTAAAGCGATAAATGGAAACACTTTTAGAGTTCCACTCCCAATTTTACTATCCATACCTTTTTAATTACTTCAATGCCTCCTCACATACCATCCTACCTAAATAAGATGACTGAATCTGTAGATTCTGTATAAACTTAGCCACAAAGTTGTCATTGTATTTTAGACTTACCATTTCTGAAAGAGATGGGCGGCCTTCCAACTGCATGTGAACACTGGCTTCTTTTCCACTTTCCATATTCCCAAAATTACATAAAAGACTTAAACAGTATGGATCAGCTTTTATGCAGAACTTGAAAAAAATACCAAAAAGCTACATTAAAACTTTTTTAAAGACGGCTAAAATATTTTACATGGAATTAAACATCTCCCATTAGTGGAGTTTGTTTTATAAATTATAACAAGAAGTATTTGAACTTGAAGCATGTGGTCTCATTCTTATGAACTTAACCTTCGGAGACAGAGTTACAACAAAGACTCCTAATCAGAGCCTTGCTAAGTCACATGTTCCACATTCCTTGTTAAACTTGGATTATTTGAATGTGAGATGGCTTCCTGGGGGGTTTGTTTTTTTCATAAATTCACTAATATGAAAGGAGTGATAATCTCATGCCACAAAGTCTGCTCAGCTGAGTACTATATCTTGGCCTTCTACAGGGTCTGGAACAATGTCTGGCTGGCATGAAGTAGGCATTGGTTTAGATAAATAATGAAATTGTATAGTATATTTAACCCTGGGTCTATCTCTCCCATCATGTCTATTCCTCCCATGCAAGTGTATTAACTTGTTTCTTTCCTACACTCAGCTGACAGTTCAAACCCAGTGGTTCTTGGTTTTAAGGTTCCACTTCTGTGTGTTGGAAAGCAAAACCTACAACCTAAAAAAATGAAACTTACCAATAGCTTCTTATCAGTCTTTGACAAGAATCTGAAAATGTCTTTCAGGGTCTCCAGTGGACCTTTATCCTGCTCTAATGCACACTTTCTTTGATAACTTTTAAAATGGCAATCTCCAGCAGTAGTCTATAAAGACAGAAAAATGTTACTCCATATTGGAAAAAACGGCAGAAGCTACACGGTCTTGAAAGGTCCAATTGGTTACCTTTTCTAAAATATATCAAGTATCTCTGAATTGTGAAAATATCTTTTGGACAGATTTGGGAAAGATTAAGTCTCTATGGCACAAACAAAAACCCAGAGACATTTTAACAAGGTGGGATACAGATGCTAAAGTGATACAGGGCCTAACCTTACAGAAATTAAAGGCAATGTAAAAAATGGACATTTGGACATTACCATGAAATTAAAATTTCTTTTGCTTTAGACACAAAACAGTAACATATCAGCATATCCTACTGTCTAAATCTGGAATTCAAGTAAATTTTAAAATTAGATCTCGAATCTACATAGCAGATTTATTTGTTGGCTGGTTGTCTGGAAGATGGTAAGCTAAAATAATTCTGATGTAATCATCAACATAAGAATATTAATTTTTTTTTAAAAAAAGGCTGAAATACTGATTTTCCAACAGCAGCCTCAAGATTTATAGAGACTTTCACCAACAATTACTTCCACATGGCCATTTCACAAAGAAAATGCACTGAAGATGGTAGAGCAGAGTTCTGTTCTATACTGTATACGTCAAACGCAGAAGTTCCTACAGCCTGACAGTTCTATGTAATGTATAACACTCAAAGTATATTCAGTAATTGCATGGCGATTCACAGCTTACAGTGGGACTCAAACACGTTAACAGACATATCCATTTTAGCAATATTACTTAGGTTAAAGGAAGGAACCCATTTTTACCTGGACATCCAAAAGGTTGAACAGCTTATCAGTTTGGGGGGCAAAAGAATTTGGTACCATTATTTCCACACTAACATTTGGAGCCATGCTATGGCCAGTGTTGATAACCTGATAAGGAGGAAAAGTTTTTGTTTTAGCAACTTAAGAATATTTTTCATAAACATAGGTACAGATATCAATGATTTTTCAGGGGGAGGCATGGGTTTCATGCAACATTTATAGTGCTGGTGGTTTGCAGTTGGCAGTTGCATAGCAAAAGGAGACAATATCCATATCCAGAACTTTAAAAATGTTTGCTAATAATTTATTCATTATTCCTAGCCCTCTCCTTGATATTGATTAGGCCAAAACGTCCAGGCTGATAATTATTGCAAAAATAGTCTAAAGAAAAAGACAACAGCATACATTTGTATGGGACATTATGTGTCTAAAAAAACCATGATCGATTGATCCTCACAAGCGCCCCATGAGGTGAGCTGACGTTTTATTATTCTCCAGCTCAGGAAAAGTCTCAGAGATGTGAATGATGTGCCTAAGATGGTTAAAAAGTGACAAGAATTAGGACCAAAACTCAGGTATTCTAATTCTGTCTTATTTTCACAAAATCACTTTGTTGAGAGGATAATCATCATCACAGTAAGCGAATAAGAATATATTTTAGTTCAGGGTAATGATGCTGATACACTCAGAAAATCAGAAGGGGGTAGGTTATTGGGTTTTAATAGTAATGCACATCTAGCCTTTTAAGAATAACGCATAGGGGGGCACCCGGGTGGCTCAGTGGGTTGAGCATCCAACTTCAGCTCAGGTCATGATCTCACGGTTCGTGAGTTCAAGTCCCACATTGGCTCTGGGCTCTGTGCGGACAGCTGAGAGCCTGCTTCAGATTCTATGTCTCCTCTCTCTCTCTGCCTATCCCCTGCTTGCACTCTCTCTCTCTCAAATATAAATAAACATTAAAATTAAAAAAAAAAAAAAAAAATGCATAGGTATGGGGCACCTGAATGGCTCAGTCGGTTAAGCATGTGACTCTTGGTTTCAGCTCAGGTCATGAATTCAAGCCCCATGTCTCTTTCTGCCCCTCCCCCACTTGCTCTCTCTTTCTCTCTCTCTCAAAATGAATGAATAAAGAATAATGCATAGGTAGATGATATTTCTTTATTGATAAATCTTGGGATTGCAGCTCCCTGAAGAAGGAAATTGGGCCAAAATAATTGCCATCTGGGCGTGTAACTACGGAATCAATACAATATCTGATGTTCCACAGAATCTGAATGAAACAGCATCACTCATAGATCTGCAGTAATCTTTAGAATGCACATGACCTAGAAGAACAAATGTGTACCTGGCCTATTAAAACTGCTAGGCCCTGGAGGCACAGGGCACTTGCAAAAGGCAGTTTCAAGCAGTGGGTAACCAGCACTGCCCAGACCCTCAGACGACATCTTCCTCATGCCTGCAAATGATCAGTCTAACCTAAAATATTCTTCACCTTTGTCTTGTAATGTTGAGACTTTTAAGAACATTTTCAAACTTGCACAGCCTCACCAAACCTAGAGATTCAAAGTACCTCCAGTCCCAGTCACTCCACTGTAATTTAACTGGAAAAAAAACTATTAATTATAAATTAATAAATAGACCTTCTAGAGTTTAGCGCAGTTTCTGTTTTAGTTTAACAGAGCACAAACTCCCACTGGGCTCTGACAGGAGCATTTCTTGGGACTTCAAAGTAGAAAGCTATATTTTTCAACACTGATGTACATTAGTATAACATAAAGTTGGGTATACGTAGACTCAGTAGGATTCCAAGGTCATTCTCTAAATCTGAGGCAGGGCCCAGGAATTTGCATTTTGAAAAAGTACCTCAAGTGATTCTGATTCTGATATCCATTTTTAAAAGCACTGCCTTACCAAAAAAAAAAAAAAAATGACCTTATGAAATATTAATGTACTTAAATCTAGACTCACTGACATTCTATAGATTGTTCTATGGCTCTAAGAATGTTTGGGCAGTGCTTTTGGTTCAAAAAATGTTTTTGTGGCCATTATCTCCAATTATCACCATCCATGATGCATCAAAACTTTGACAGTAAACATTAAAAAAAGTTTAGCTTTATATTAATATGTTTGGATAATGGTACTCTTTTTAAAAAGATTATTTAATAAATGACACATCACTTATAACAGGCCATCTACCTATGGCCTAAAAGGCTCACCAAGCAGATGTTAAATGGAGATGCAGGAGGTAAGAGCTTCCTTTACTGGGTAATGTCAGCGCTTATATAAAAGCTCGAATCAAGAAGAGAGTTCACGGATTCACACCTCAACCTATCCTGATTTCTGTGTGCATCTCGAGTGGATGCAGTTCCTCCCATAACTTTGTGTGTTTCGGCAGTTACCTCCATTCCTGTGTTTGCTCCTTCCCACTGTATTGTAAGGAATTGTGGGCTTCAGTAATAGGATAGAGATAAGGGTTGGGAGGGTGGCAGGGGGAAGCAAGAACCCAGGAGGAAAGTCCATGAGTAACTGTGCTGCTGTCAGACATGGGGGTCCTGGGCTGAGGGACATCACAGCATATGATGTCCTCTGGAGCCATACAGCAGGAACAAGCTCTCAGTTTGTTACAAATATCCCAACAATCAACTTCTCTTACATGAAAAGTGAAGTTCATTTTCTCTGACATGCATGTTTCAGGCTCATTTTCTTCCTTTGGTCCATACACAAATGAAGTTGGGTTTACAAACCTGAAAGAAACAAATTCAAATTTGATTTGTCTTACTTGATGGGGTATTATCAACAGTCTTTCTCTTTGGTCTGGATTATTGCATCTCTCTTAAATATGGCATTTAAGACTATATTCCCAACTATAGATGCCTCCTAAGCACCACTGAATATTTTTGGTTTCTTGGTAAGATAAGAATTTAGTGAAATGTAATGAAAGCAGAAAGCCATGTGCTCTTTCTCACTAATATCCTGTTTGTCTTCCCAGCATTGACCATTCCTTCTCTCTTAGTTCTCAAATGATTCACATCAATTTGACAATTAGGAGACAAATTCTTAGCTTTTCCCTACAATTCTATTATCTTCCTATAAATCAATCTATTTTACCTATTTTTGAGTTCTTTTTTTTTTAAGTTTCATTATTTGGGAGGTGGGGAGAGAGAGAGTGAGTGAGTGAGTGAATGAATGAATGAATGAAACCCAAGCAGGTTCCTCACTATCAGTGCAAAGCCTGACATGGGGCTCAATCTCACAACTGTGGGATCATGACCTGAGCAGAAATCAAGAGTCAGATGCTAAACTGACTGAGCCACTCAGGCGCCCTGGAGTTGTTTCTATAATCCAATTCCTGCTTGCTATTTGTAATGAAACCCAAGGTAGGAGAACAGTTCAAACGTCAGTAAGTATGGTCACCTTTTTGGTTAAGAATACAAGGTTGTCATTCTTTTGCCTGTGATTAGACATATACATCAGTGGTGGACTTTAAGAAGTATTTCTCTTGGGAATCCCAACTGTAGCAATTGCCCTCATTTGTCAGCTAATGTGAAGTAATACACATTAAAGACTGGTTACACAGAAATACTGAAATTCTATAGATTTAGGCAGTTTTATACTCAAAGAACATTTCTTGCCCAAAATCATACGTAGAGGACACTCCTCATAAGAGGATCAAGAAAAGGAGGTGAGAGATGAGGCTTCAAAACCAGGAATATGCCATCAGCTCTTCTCTGCTCCCCACTGACTCACTAGATTCTCTCCTGAATGGCTTCCTCTTTCTTCTGCTTGTTTTATCTCGCAAACTTGATACTCTATATTTTCAGTTGCAGACACCATTTTTATTACAAAGATTTTTTTTAATGTTTATTTTTCAGAGAGACAGAGCATGAGCAAGGG